TATACCCTCCCAGATTTGTGATGAGAGCATTTTTTGATGTTTGCATTTTCGTAGCACTTTGGAAGGCCGACTGAAATGTTGAAATAACAATAAAGGAGGAAAAATTCTTTCTTTGTGTGAAAATTACTACTACCATTGTATAATACAATGCTACTGCACTCAATTATTGTTCTTTATATAAAGACATTTAACTTTGCACTCCCTGTACCAGCTGGTTGTTTCGTCAACCGTGTTGGTCGGAATGGAAGCATTAAAAGGAGTTTATTATGCGTGTAATTGTGGAGTGTCGTTTTCCTTACAATACAATGAATTGTTTTTCCGCGCATACTATTACCTATAATTTGTATTGTGTATTCTTCTTTGTATGGGCTGCTACTGTCGACAATATTAACAATAATAGTTAAAGTCTAAATATTTATGGTTCACGGTATTACCAAACCGTTAATGACGTTTCTGCTTTAGCCATTTAGATATAATTTCAATCTGAAAGTTTATTATCACTTAAATTGCATTGTTTCGACAATGTACATTGTTAATATGTACAAAATGTATAACTATGTATGTAAACCTCGATGTAAACTTCTCTTTGTTGAGTAGGTATCTGTACAGCTCCCAACTTTTTCGACGCTTACAAGTTACAACATATTTCTTGTTAATGGTGTCCTGGTTAATAAATTTCATTAGGATTTGTCACGGTTTGTTAGGTATATATAATACTTACTTTTTTTATTGCTGCGCCATTCGCTTACAACAATGATGAACTTTTGTAACGTGTTGCACTCATTTCACTAAAATAGCGGGTCCCTCAAAAAAAGGGGAACTAAAATAATCATTTTGTCTCTATGTACTGAAGTAACTTTATCCATGTGGCAGCGTCAAAGTTGTTTTGCATCGAAAATGTATCCACTTAATTAATAGATTATTTGTATAGATTTAGTAGATGTAGAACGTGAATTTCTTTTTCACATTCATATGTGCAATAAATTACCTAGAACCCCAATAAGAGTGTCAACGTAAAGTTGGCTTAGGGTAAGTGAAACAATTGCCTAAAACTGTACATTTAATCAATGGCGAAACCATCGTATCTGTTTGCATTTCTATTGTATGTATGCACTTAGATTTTTATTATACCATGACTTAGAATCATCGTTCATAATAAAAGGGTACAGGCATACCTTTCTTTAGAAACGTTATGCATTGAAATTATGTATGTGATTACAAGCGTTATTAGTAATATTTACTAAAGGTATCTTCAAGTCTTAAGTGTTAGAGTATGTAGATTAAATATTAATTACACTTAATAAGGGTGTTGAACGCTATGCCTGCTGAATGTGAATTTGTGTATACAGGTAAAATACTGCCAGTTCTATAGTCATTGTTTGGGGCAGGCTGGCCACTCGACTAACGTTGGAAGGTCTACTATTTCTGAAGTGGTACCCCACGCACACAGCCAGTATTAACCCCTGCAGCATTGGTCTGGCGTTTTTCTCTCACAGGATTTAGGACGTAAGCACTCCGGGCAAATTTAAAGATGCATTCGGGCCATCCTATGGATGTAAGTGCCCTGGGGTAGGTTCAGGCGATCTCACTGGTGTAAGTAGTCCGGGCCTGGGTTTGTGAGGGTTGACCGTTATTGTCAGGACCCTTATCTTATAGGAGTACGGCTCCTAACGCATGAGAGAATACGTATTTGGTCCTGCGAGAGGTGACTATAATAGCCTTTTGTTGTGCCGGCTGGGCGTCTAAACACGTTGCAAGACCTATCGCACGTGAAGTTACGTTTTGGCAGTAAGTACTCCGGCCAATTTAAGGGTGCGTGGGGACCCTCTGATCAGTGCACTCCAGGTTGCGTCGAGCGCCCAGATCGGTGTAATAGTCCGTGCTTGGCTGTGCGGACCCACCGCGTTGGAAGACTTTTGCTTGCCCTCCTTCATTGTGAGGGTGGGTTATCGCACGGGAAGATACATGTGTTCGTATGGAGGACAGCCGTAGGCAACTTTTATTGGGTATCAAGATTACGTTACGAATAACGACTGTTTTGCACTCGGTTTTGCAACAATTGGGAGCGCTAAAACAATGCGTTTGAGTTGCAATTTGTAAAAAATTTTACCGTCCTGGGAGTTCTCCGTACACACAAATGTAAATGAATTAAATGATTAATATTTCATTTAGGAGACAACTTTATATCTGCAATGTTTTTCTATACGCGGTGAAGTGAAATTCGATCAACGTTGGAATGTCCATTCCAAAAATTTGATGAGATAATTAGGTCGATCAAAAGCATACTATGTTCGTGGATGTTGCCGGCATATTATTATGAATGTAAACTTTATAATCAAAGTGGCAGACTATGTTCTGGCCTGCCCCGTAAGTTAGACAACTCATCAAGCAACAACGAGACGCGTCAAAGAGGACGACACTACATGTAGATAGCGCCCTAGGTCGAGAAAAGTGGGCGTCTCGATAATAAACGAATGTACTTAGTGTAGTGAAAATTTATCTTGCAGCAGATGTAGGGATTTACTGAGTAATACTTCGTTACAATGATTTAAATAATACTCTGTCACTTTTCATGACTGAGTCGTCTATGCAACTTAATTAATTACAAATAACATCACAGATGTCGCTACATAACATTTGCCACATATTTTCAACACTTACTTCTGAATTCAATGTACCTCATTGTACCAAAATCCGTTTCCATGGTACACTTGGTTATTGGGAAAGCCGATTCAGAAAAATCAGGGCAATCTTACCGAGAGCAACGGAAAGGTTTTGAATGTAGCCAAGACCTTCTTTAGAATTCAATATACCAAAGGTCGTTTTTATTGTACCACCGCCGCGCCGTCGTTTTCGGAAAATCCATTTTCGAATCTTTCGGCTCCCCGTTGTAATTCATACATTCTTTGATTCTTTGATTTCGCAGGTTGAGTTTTTTTATCTTCCTCTCATGGGGTAAGGTTAAAAAATAGGTCGGCGAAAACTTCAAATTTTCCAATTCTGTTTTCAGTAACGGGTGCTCAGGGGACTAACTGACTCAACTTTGGTCAATACTCATCAACCGGAACTGACCTTTTCGCAAGTTGTCTATATTGGTTCAGTTTATTTATCTTCACTACATTATCATTCAACTAACTATATTGGTATTGGTATAATATACATATATTTATATTAAAACGGGAATTACATCTTTTCCTTTTAACCCATCAACGCAATGCTGAACTCCCCAAACTTCCCAGTAAACTGATTCCGTCTCCAAATTAAAGTGCGTGACACTGCTCCCTCCTTAGAAGGGTTTTGTCGCGGAACACTTCTAGTTTCCCTTAGAAGGTTCTTTCGGTATGGACATCCTGTAGTTTGGAACAAATCGACAGTGTTTCGGAAAAAATTACCTACCAAAACTTCGATGTCCATGTCCTTGAAAATGACTTTTTTCATGTTGTAGGCTAACCCAGTCTACAACATTGACACTGTACATTGGATTCTCATGTGATTGCTCTTTGATTACCAGGTATAATATTGACCGACGCCTTTTCCTGAGACGAAGGACATTTCAACTCTAGAATTTTGCTGACGTAACTCTTCTATTCCTTTATATCTCTTTTTAAGTGGCAATTCCTCGGCTCATCGTAAAGGCCCTCCCATGACGTTTGTAGCTTTGAAGAACACCCACGTATTCTTTGGAAATTAAAGAACAATTCAAGCTTGGTATCCACCTGGATTTAACTCGGTATTCATATCGTTCTTTCATACGGTCACTGGCTTTATCTTTGTTATTACGTACCCTATTGTGAATTTCATCCATTTTCGAACGGAAGTTGCTGACCTGCTCCTCATCGCCGATGCCCTTTCCTTATTGCTCTTCCAAATGTAATACTTGGAGGAGTCTGTCCGATAGTACCGAAGAGCGAGAATCTATAAGGAATAATGGTAGATGTTGATCCCAGTCTCGTTGATGATCATAGACAACTTTGGGATGGATGTTTCAATGTGAAGTGGTCTGGATCCGCCCCAAGAAATTAGACGTAGTTGGACGCACACGGGCTGGCAAAGATTTAGGCTGGGGTTCTCGTTGATTCGATGTGTGAGTGGAATTGGCTTCCCAGGTGGGTTTTGCACGGACCGGTCACGGAACTGACGCGCTGTATTCTCGAGTATTTCTCTTTCTTCTCGAACGTACGCTCCAAATCTTCTTCAGCAGTGCGGGGTAGGCTGGCTGGCTGGCTATCTGGATGTCCGCGTAATTTTCTTCTTAGAAGTATTGCCACTTAGGCGATTCACTTGACAACGCACGATTCGACTCCTTAAGACAATTAGCGCAGATTCAGCGTCTGGGGTTGCCTGTGGGATCCCTTTTTTTTTACCCGAATACACTTATATTTATATCCCATTTCTTAGTATCTACTGTAATTAAGCTCCGTCTATCTCACTACGACGAAGCGTTTATAAGTTTGGTGTAATAGGCATAGTGTTATTCTTACACTAGGCCTAAACATAGCTTACGCGTCCTTATCAATTTAAAAATTTCTATACGATTTTCCGTGCATACGGAAGTCTGGTTACACCGTCAACGTGACGCCAAACTCGCCAAACTTACTTCAATTTTTTATTTAATAATTAACATCCCAAATAATAATGGACCCACCCATACACCTTGTCTAACTTCCTGGTAGACTGCTTCCGTCTCCAAATTACAGTGCGTAACAATACGTTACCTACATATCGACATTTTTCACGAGGTATCGTATATCTATGTAGCTATTGCACTAGTTGTACCTATATTATGTATACCTATGTGTTTCATAATGGGCTATAGGTATGCAAGTTACTAGGTACTTTCGATTTCATATTTCTTCATATACGCTTTCCATCTCATTATACGTGGAGTCAAACAAGTCCTATGTACCTCGGGTTAGTGTGCAGCATTTGGTGCTAGATTTGGTGACGCTGAAAGAATATTGGGGTTATTGGAAAAAAAAACAAATTCTTTTACAGTCGTATTATGTCATATATACGCAAGGTGTTTGAAGTATCCTACAAATAACAATAACGTTTTGTAGGCATCTAATTAGAAATACCTGTACATGTCAACTAATACAATTTGGTTGGTCCGTTATTGAAATCCTGTCGATAAATACTGCTGCGAGTTCGTTTTAGTAAACAAATAGGGTGCTCTTGAAGACGGACACTGAAAGTTTTCCATTATGTTCCCAGGATTATTGATACTTTTTCTCCCAACAGGTTGCAGTAGATTATTCCAAAGCATGTTAGCGGCTAAAAATAAATACATAACGTTAGTAACTCAAAAATATAATTAGATTTGTAGTGTTGTCATTGGCAGCTAGCATTAAATACGTTTGTTATAATTTGATTCCATGAAAGGTGGTGGGCATCAAAACCAGAGACTTGCTCTGATCAAAACCGTTCGTTTCTAATACGATTACGCGATTTAAATTTCACCATGCGTGCTGCAAAACGCAGCATTTGAACAAGCAACTCATCTATTAAATTCTACTTAGTTATTTATGCCTTATTCCAATCAACCCCAATCGCTTTGTAAAGGTTGAGGCAAGTCAAAGAAATGTCTATTTTTTTAGAATGATCACTGACTAGTAATAGCATTTACCAGCTAATAATAAATTATCGCATGTAATTCAAGCACGAACAACGTGGATATTTACATATAATGTGCTTTTTTTAGATTTAGAAGACTTCCGGTACTGAATATTGAACTTGAAAAGGAAAACTGTTTATCCTTATTCTAACCGACTTCACACGCAAATTTTAGTTACAATAGAAAATTCCTTTGAAATGTTTCACATAATTATAAAATGATTGGATCGACTGTACTAGTTCAAGGATCAGTGCTATTGAATATGAGCCGGATCAAAAGGTGGTGTCCGAATACGAGCGGAATGACAAAAAATTTCCCTGCTTTTGCTTTTGTTTCCGTTTCCGGTTCTGAGCCAGGCTCCATTTTCGGTTCCGTTGCCGTTCCCGTCACGTTGGCATTTAGCGTTGGGAATGGCGTTTTCGCTTTGCTTTGCTTTCGCTTTCGTTTTAGGTTAGCGTTGGTATTTAGCCGATGAAAACGAAGTGGTTGCGACTAAATTCAAAAGCGCTTACCTACCAAGTTATAAAACAATTGCCTCAGCTATTGCACAATTCGATGCTCGAACTATTTGTGGTCAGTGATTTGGTGTGATATGACCATAGATCAAACTTTGACGCGAATGATGCTTTGATAGATGCGGGGGGTTCACTCGTGGTCGTGTAGTCAGTCACAGCACGGCATACTACCTCTCTGAGTTTTAGTAGGTACATACAAATACCAATTATAAGCATTAAGTAGGTAATAAACAATGTTCGAGCATTTCCGCAACTGTAATACATTCAACAAGTGTAATTCCTTTTTCTCATTGTACATGGTAGAGGTTGCCATCGCTTGTACAAACACGAAACATTTTCAGGCAGCACTTGAAAATCAATATTGCAACTACTAGTAGCCGTATGTCTGTATAGATGGTAGCACAGAATCAGATTGGTACCTATAGAATAGACTATTTGATATTCAAAGTAGGTACCAATCTTTAATAACATGTAACAAAAAGTATCTTTAGTTATTACGAGTATAAACAACGCTCACTTACCTAAAGCATGCCCTTTTTGAGAAAAATGGAAGCAATCGTGCGTAATATAAGATATATCAATCGCTTCATCATATAATTTACGTGGATCCGCAGGCGCATTAAAAAGTTTTATGAAAGGCTGTAAAACCACAGTAAAATCGTTTTTTTCATAACGACCGCTTTCCACCTATGGAGGAATGGCGTAAGAATGTTTTTAAACTTATTTTAACGTAATTATACCAATTCAAATTCTGCGCGTTGATAATCCCTTGCGAGTCTCGGAATGTCATACATTGGATTAGAGCCACCACGATGGAAGCACGTACAATACAGTCTATGCATTAATTTACACATAAAGGATCGACGAACTCTTAAACTAACAGACACATCTACAATAAATAAATAAATAGATGGTAACAGGTACAGTTGGTGATTATTATTGGTTTACCCAATACTGGTATCAAGTTAACGAACGTCTTAGGTAAGTGCTTTTGTAGGTAGTCCAATGCAATCATCAGCTTTTGTGCATGACGTTCAGGCGAACTTTCATCAGCGTTAAAACACTGTGCCGAACAAAGGTCATTTGCGCCAAAGAAGAAGGTAATCATTTTCCATGATTCGTTGAGGTTCAGTTTTAATTTCTTTAATCTTGCGACTAACGCTTTAGCTTGCATTAAAGCGTCTGCGTCCGCCGCGACAGGGAATGCCACATTTAACCGTGAGTGCCTCGACAATAATTCGCCCGTACCGGTGGAGTATCCAGTCAAATTTGGATTGAATTCTTTCAAAATATTAGGTAAGGTTAAGTATGTCCTCCAAGTGTGTTCACCACCTGAAAGATCAGCCGTAAAACAAGGCGAAGTGATCACTCTTACCTATGCACCACGACAGTCCTCTATACTCGATCATATTTCCTAACGCCCACTCTTCCATTGCACCACTCCCTGCGATTAGAGAATCTCCCATCGCGGCTATGATGTCGATGTCGCCTGGTCGAAGTTTGTGCACGCTGGTTGGAACTGTTTCAGACCTACCCTTCCCAATCCCCGTGCTGTTTGCGCAAGGAAACTGGGTTGATTTTGAAATAGTGGGTTGTTTTCTAACGTGCGACTTCCTTTGTGGATATTGTAACATCTTCGGTTTGGGGTCTATCTAACCCAGAAGAAAATATACTACGCACACGTGTTTCAGGTATCAGGGATCAAATTATTTAGTTTACACAAGAATTAAACTTGAAACCAAAATTATAGTTTAATGCAAGCCAAATTAAAAGAGTCACGCAAGAACATTTCTTTATAATAACCTTTGTTTGATTGCGTCTTTGCAGTTTAGTTTTCTTGAAGTTCACATTCATTGTTAGTGTTTCAAGCAATATCAACATTTTCCTAGGCACTTTCTTGATCACCTATCTTTTTTCTTAATGTTTACATTTACTGCATTTTTGTATTTAACATTTATTAATTAAACTTAAAACTTCATTCTACAATTAATTTATGATAATGCTATTATTCTATAACCTGTATTCAGTAGCGCATAACCTAGCATAATGCATTTTTAGACGACTTGATTCGAAAATGACACATATCAATATTGTAGCCTACCTTAGAAAGTTAACAATTGAACATACTGATGTGGATATGAAATTTATCATGCACGGTGCGTGATAAGAGTTAGTGAGGTTGTTTTCATAAGTCAGCTAGAAATTCAGTTTGATGGAAGCTTTACTGGATTGTCAAATAATAATCAATTACATATAAATTGATTTCGGTTCATTATGCAAATTGAAGGACACAAGTCGCCAAAATACGCCAGCAAAACGTTTTCCGAAAATGACGATTTCTTCGTAACGCAGTCGCGATTTCGTTTGGAGCAACACCAAAGTATTCTCGCTGGCCGCTTCAACTACTGATGGTGGTGTGAGTTGTAAAACATCGTCTTCTTTATCGCTCTCCATTTTACGCACCACTTAAAATTCGTTTTAGTAATAATCGTTGCACTGTATGACAGAACTAGCAAAACAATCCATAGCAACCTGCGGTCGTAGCCAACCAACACAGTAAAATTAAAAAATGGCGTAACATATTCTTGAAATATTAGGGATACTAGTGAAAGCTTTTATTGTTCAAGTCGTCTAAAATAGTTATTTACCTAACAAGTTCGGTAAGTTAATTTTCCCGCATGAGCACTTTGTTTGCAGCACGACCGTAGGGAGTGCTGCATTTAGTGCGAATGCGGGAAAATTCTTTCCGAAAGAGTTAGGTACAATATTTTTTGTAACGAATTGCGTAAAAAAAGGTCAAAATTAATAGTTTTGTAAATTAGTTTTTTTTAATCATGAGTTGGTAACACAATCATATGTTTGGTTGGTAACATAATTTTGTAACTACCATTGCACTGGTCACATTTAAAACTTCCACATCTTTGGTTAATACATATTTTGCCTTTGCAATGAGTGCTACTACTGGTCACGGCATTGCATCGTTTGCACTGAATATCCTTGGAAGTCGTCAATGTTAACAAATATGCTTTGAAAAGAGTGCTCTTATTGGTCGCGTAAGTGTACTGATCGTATTTAATATTCCCAGAAGACATGTGTGAAGAAATGTGTTCTCAAATTTGATTTATCTTGAGTTGCGTAAATACACTCGTTACATTTAAAATCCTTGGAAGCTTTGTGTGTGTTAATATGTGCTTTCTTAAACTGCATATGCGAATAGTTGCAGAATATCACTGGTCACATTTTAAGACGTTTTAACAATAAATTTTACTTTTTCTTGAGTTCCAATTCTGAAAAATAATTTGATTGCGTTATAAGTTCTTGTTTATATATTTACGTAAAACTTAGTGTACGTCTGTTTCCGATTAATCGCACTAAATACCCTCAACCAACGGTTTAATTGATTTTACAGCAGATGACAGTTAACCATGACATGACGTTCGTTTCCTTCAATAAGTACTACCAACCGAAGAACGCGCATAACCCCTTCTCTCCAGCGGAAACTAAAAAACACCGCGATGCGGGAAAGTCGTTTTCCCGTGCATCGAGGATGCTTGGAAACATTATCTTTCCATTCAATGAGTACAAAAAATAGTGTTCACAACTCGTGTTGAAAGTGACTATCATGCTCATGCTTATTAGCCAAACTCGGCTTCGCCTCGTTTGTCTAACGGCACTCGCATATCAGTCACTTTCGACACTCATTATGAAATATACTATTTCGGTGACGTGACGTAAATCCTCCCCCAGCTACGATCGCGAAATTAATAAAAACTTCAATTTCAATAAAAAAAAATTGCGGGAGAAGCCCGAAATTTTGCACAATCTTAATTAAAAGTTGACTTCATTTGTCAAAATCTGAAGTTATGTTATTGATGTTGATGTTGTGTTGAAAAATCAGAAGTGACAGCTAATTTTTATAATAGGTTATGTTAACTTCGTCTAATAAATTGAAATATGCCGACTTTAACGTCTATATTAACAGTTAATGTAATAAAAGTAGTCTATAGAAGATGAGAGAGATGTCCCCTCCTGTTTCGCTACACACGATCCGGCAGACTTGTCAGGTTGACCTGAACAGTCCGCCTGAAAGTCGGTCGCTTGAACGTATATATACCCCGGTAGATCTGTCAGGTAAAACTATTCAGGCGGTCAGAGAATAATCAAAAATATGTTCGCTCATCCGGCCGGCCTACCGTAATCAACGGCAAGTTGGGGCGTGTGTATGGTACGGTCGCCTGTCAGGTCGTCGAACTTTCAGTTTAGACAGTTCATTACAAGTCGTGAGGTCGTACAACATGTCACGCGAAACAGAAAACAGGTGTTTGAAGAAATTTATCGCGATTTATCATAGTGAGCCTTGTGTGCGGCAAGTGAAATCAAAAAACTATCACGACCATGACAAGACAAGGATTCAATGAGAACGGGATCGGGTGCCGATGAAGTCTACCATCCCAGTCCCATGGAAATCTCGAAGCAATATCTCTGATAACGAAAAAAGCGAAAGTGGAGTAAGTGACAGAAACACTGAGTGGATAACACGTTTTGTTTATTTATTCAATGAAATAAAATAATAATAATACTTTATTAGTATAGTATATCACAAGATATACAAGTCAAATTACAATACTGGGAAACTTAATGAACAATTATAACAATTTAATTTCGAAATATTGATCAATGGAATACAGAGCATTACTTCAGAATTTCTTTTATGCGTTTTATAATAAGTTTGTCTTCAGCCTGTGTATATGCTTAGGTAAAAGCACAATCATATGAAGAATATTATATTTTACAAACAAATTTCCTTCCTCAATCAGAAACTTTTGAAGAAACAGAACCATCGACATCACCACGCCACGACCAAATAGATAGCTACCAATTACAACAGTTGCAGGTATCTTCATCCCGGCCACGGTCATCCCGGCGATTCCTATCCCGGCGATGACCATCCCGGCCAGAGTTGGACTGGGTCAAGCATAGAGTGACCCAGTGACCCGGTGACCCAGTTAGTTTACTGACCCAGTGACCCGGTGACCCAGTGACCCGGTGACCCAGTTTGACCCGGTGACCCAGCTTGACCCAGTTTGACCCGGTGACCCAGCTTGACCCGGTGACCCAATTTCAAGTAACTTTTAATTAAAAAAAAAACTTCCTCAATAATATTCGGCAACAAGCACGTAGCCCAATTTCATTCAAGAAAACTAATACCTAAAAAAATCAAATGCATTTGTTTATAGTTTGTAGTCAAGTAGTCAATGAAAGTATTTAGAGAAAAGATTTATTTGAATTAAGCTAACTAGTAGAAAAAAATTAAATGTGAATGAACACCTGTAAGCAAACTGGTAAGCCCTGAAGCAAAGAAATAACATTATTCTAATACAATTCGGTACATGGAAAGTTTTTTACGGCAGTATTAAAGCAAACATCACAGAATCGCTGGGTCAAACTGGGTCACTGGGTCAAACTGGGTCACTGAGTCAAACTGGGTCACTGGGTCAACTGGGTCACTGGGTCTAACTGAAAAGAGTATGACGTGACCCAGCGACCCAGTGACCCAGTTTAATTTAGTGACCCAGGTGACCCAGTTGACCCAGTGACCCAGTGACCCAGTCCAACTCTGATCCCGGCACCGATTTCCCGGTGACAAGCCATCCCCGCAACCATTTAATTTCCTGCTTCGGTTATCCCGGCGCTCTAAACCCGGCGATCGGTAATTCCAGCTTCGGTCGCCCAAGCAACTTGAACTCTGCGACCGGAGGGATGCAAACAAGCCGCGGTAAACATATGTAGCAAATTCATGCTTATCATATTGAAACAATATAATACAATACACCGGAATAAAGTTTTCTATTTTATAAATGGTGATTTTTCCTTTTTAGATATAATACAATCTGAATAGGGACTATAGCATCAAATTGAAATTGTGCCATTTATAGGTAGGTAAAAGATGGGTTGTCGCCGGGAAAACGATGCCGGGGTGTATGTCGCCGGGATGGGATGCACCGTCTTCATCCATGCGTAGATAATTGTGCCAATCCTTGGGATCCTGGGGTTTCTGTTTACCCAAAAAAACTACTACTATGATGATTATGAAAAATATTTCAGATTCGCCCAGGGATTCGCCTGAATGTTTGGAAGGTCGTCAATCCATGCGGCGACTGGCTTTCAGGCGGACTGTTCAGTTCGAACTGACAGGCCTTCCGGACCGTGTGTAGCCGGCATTAAAGGCGGTCTACGTCTACATTTTTTTGTACGTGCGGAGGTATGGTGGGTGGGGTTTTGACTCTTATCTGCTTGTACACTCGTTTCTTATCTTAACGGGCTTGATTCGCTCGCATATTAGTTCTGTTTTCTTTCATTATGAAGCGGTACACATATACTTTGCCATACTTGCTACTCCTCAAGCGACGGCCTGTTACACTGAACAATTTGAAACGGTATGTGACTTTTTGTTCTTATCCCTTAAGGCCAAGCGTGTTATTTTGTATGAAACACATCGTTCCGAAAAATCTCTCTGAAAGTCCACTTCTAAAAACTGTTCTATTTACCAAATAGGACTTTGGCACCATTAGTGAATATCCCAACATGATTTTTCCACTAAAAATGCGCCCCCGTGAAAAATAACTTTAATTGTGATCCTGAGATTCTCTAGATATTCTAGCACCATGGCAAGATCTAGTTAAAAAAACAAAATCGGATTCATTTTTCGAGATGTAGAATGCACGGAAGTTTTTAGTTGGGTGAGATCCAAGCTGTTGCTCAACATCAGTAGATCTGCAGATATATTGTTCTCAATAAAATAGTGTTTCTACAATGTCTTTGGCAACGAAAAGAAATTGCTCTCCTATACTTACATGCTTACATTTAGCTGTTTTATTTCGAACGATCTCCAAAAATCTTTGTGCAAATGATCTGATTCTTAACCCGAAAAATGCATGCGGTTTACTCACCAACAGCCATTTACCCAAGTTTAAATACGTTTGGTCATATTTTCTAGTTTAAAATTTTACACGATCTTCTTGGATTAGTCGAAGTCCAACCCTCTCCATCGTTCTGTTTTCATTTGGCAGTGTTTATTGGCGAATTGTAATTTTAATTAGGGGGATTGGCCCTTCGGCAAAATGATTTCAATTAATAAATGATGGGCATTGGGTATGAAAGTATGAGAACCGCAGAAATTGGCACTAGACTACTTATGCCCGGTTTCTTCAGCATTGTTTAAAACTTAAGTAAGCCTTAAGATATAGGATATAGAGAAGTGTTTGTGGTTGGTCGAAATTGATCCATTGAAACCGGCAATTAAACTAATAGATAACATCCTGTCTTTTCATCTCCTAATAACTTTAATCTTCGGGTAAATTCGACTGATAGTGTTTTAAATGTAGGTATACGTATGTATTAACAGAATAAATTTACAGGTAGATGAAAGACAGCAATGCATTAATTTATAAACTTGCTGGATTAATTGATCTTTCAACGATTTTGAGTTCAATCGTATTTTGGTTTTTGTATTTCTTAATGTACAATTAAAACAAAACGTAAAAAAAAAACAGATACCTTTCGTGCTTCTTCCATAAGGACTGCATATGTAATTCTGTTCGTACTGTTTACCAATTGTTGACTAACGGCATTGAAACACAGAAAAATAGCGAATGAAAACAATGTGTAATGCATTAGACTCCCGATGATCGTTTCTTAATGTTTAACTTTAAAAATACCGCATGTGCTGTGCAGGTACACCCACAAGATGATTAACCCTACTAAATTGTATTATTATTTTCGCATTGTTTCTGGATATCTAAATACTTAACGGGGATTGCTTTCACTGTTGCCAAATGATTGATTAACATATGAACGTAGCCCCCAAAAATGTGAGTTGCATAATTTATAATCGATACTATTCTTGGCGGTTACCTTATTAAGATTCTGATTGGAGCTTTAGTTTAGAATGAAATTCACTTTCCTTTTCTAAATATTATAATAAAATAAGGCAAAAAGATAGTTTGTTCAGAGATTACTAATGTTATTGGAACCTAAGTGCAGGGCTCACTGGTATTTAAGTTGCGTAATTCAAGAGCAAAATGAAATTGATGGTAGGTTTTTTAATTGTATCTAGATGCCATGTAACGAAAACCGTTCATGGAACAAGAAAATCGTATCCCGCTATGCAATTGCTATAAAAAAGAACTGCATGTTTTGAATTGCGCATTATTCATTTTTCTGACGTATTGACAACTAACGAAATTTAAACCACAATTTTACATCGAGCTGTAGTAGTCAGCAATGCTCCAATGATTATTTGTGACTCACATCAAAGGTTAGTACCTTCTTTACGCCTTGTTACTTCTGTCAAATGCGTTAATCACAAAACATTTTAAACAAATGTGACGTATTGATATTAGTAGGTATAACATGTTCTTTATCACATACCCTAACACCCACATATAAGAAAGGGAAGACAGTAAGAATATTACTACACCTCTTTAGTAAGAGTAGTTTTAACAGAAATTAATTTAAATTAAATCATCCTTTCTTTAAATCGTTGTCGCATGTTACCCAGTAGGGCATGCAGTTTACAGGGGTTAGGACACAAAGGAACGAGGATTGGTATAAAAGTGGTATTGTTGGGGTCCGTGAAGTGAGCTGGCCATGAACAGCACAAACAACGGATTTAGGTTTAATCGTTTGTGCTTCGTTTGTGCTCGTTTGTGCCGTATAACAAAAGTCAGCAAAATCAACCATACGAAAATTATGGGCAATTCAAAATGGTCAGCTGACTTCACGCACGAAAACAGAACACTTCGGAAAATGAGAACCTAGAGAAAGCCCTATGACCCCAGTGATGATTTTTATAACTACCCATCTTAGTTTTGTAGGATTCTAAGAGAGGTAAACTCCAAATACTCTTTAAAATTCTGTGGTTTTATTTTTTTGTTAATCTGTGATCCGTGATTCGAAAAATGATTCGAATACTAGAATTCAAATCATGTCATGCGGTAAAGGATCCGAATCAAAGTATCCGTGATTCGAATCCATTATTGATGATTCGGATTCGTGATTCGAATTATTTTTTAGGGGATTCGTCCCAGCTCTGGTGTATGTCGTAAGAATGTTGGACTGAAGATGGAAATTATATGATTACTTACAGTAATCCGTATATAAACATCTTGTTCATATCATTATTTATAATGTTACGGACTTGCGGTTAATGTAAAAATTCCAGTGAATGCGCACATTAACCGGTTAAGGTACACATTTTCATACGATGTTGGCTAAGTTTTCCGTCCCTAAATTATGGGATATGCGGGGATATGTGATTATCAACATTGACCGTAATATATACAGTGATGGTGGTGATAAATCATATTTGAGAATGACTGACGGCGTAGCCTTATTATTGATGTAAAGTCTATTATTAACAAAATTCGGGATATATCATTCTCTTGGATGGGATCATACGCTTGGTTTCGGCGGCTGCGTCGCCTCATCTCACACGCCCAGCGAACTTTAAATCGCCTATCAGTTGTTTAAATCAAAACGATATATAAATCGTGCAAACAGAACTTTAAGATAAATTTGATGTAACTGTCCCTAAACACAATATAAACCATTTTAAGAAATTCTATCCTTATTAGTTTGGTAGTTTCAAAGTTCTTTAGTAAAATACCCCCCAGAAATAAAACGATGTATGTGCAATAAATTCATGAAAAGCGTAAAGAAATTGTTATCAGAAACTGATGATGTGGACTTGTTTTTCAGTGTAATCTGATAATATGTAATACCACTCCTTATGCAAAGGTGTTATCGAAACCAAAAGGGTTACAGTTGTCAAGGTTATTTTTAGATTCCTCTCTAATATACCTACTTAAATGTGTCGGCCACAATATCCATTTGTCCTCCTCGTCATATAAGAACATATGGCGGAAAATCTAGTTCTGCATCTTGGTCATTGGTTATGAAAGCTCACCTACGAAAACTATACTTTCGCCCCTATCCTTGCACCAATAAAGGACAAAGGTGGCGCCAATTGCAAATTTATCTTTTTTGCATAGATATCAATTTCCCGACTTTTTTGTCAAAAATCGTATGGAAAGTGGTACTTTCTTTCACTATTTTTACTATGCATTTCCATGGCGTTTACTCCTGTCTATGAACAATAGTTCAACTTGTGAGTGACAGTAAATTGAGAATGTCACTGACTTATTCAAGGATTCAAGGTTCACTATGCATGTATGCAAAAAAATTTCGTATACAACACGTGTTGAAAGTGTCTCTTTTTCATGAATTTGCAGTTCGCGAGGACGATGACTCATAACCTATTAGATGAAGTGGAAAACAGAAACACGTTACACGTCTACATACAAGCAATACAAGAAACCTGGAAACAGTGCGTCTACTTCAAACCAACGCGAAGGTGGTAAATGTGGCGGGGGTGTCATAAGTAACTGTTTTACAAGTGCCAAACGGTGCTCCAGAATCGGAACATTGAATAATAAATCTGATATTATTCAATGATCGGAGTGAAGTGGATGTTCCGGACATTATCGTTGCAATGTTTATCAGTGCAGTTCGGTGGGGATGCCTCGATTACTACGGATGTGGATACAAAACCATTCGATATGCCGGTTCGTGATGGCTTGCATATACCGCAAGCTCACAACTAATCTGCTTTCGGTGAGTTGTTTCAAAGAACGTGGAAAAAGGGTTACATTCAAAGATAACGGTTGTCACGTATTCAATGGCAACCATGAGCTAATCAGAGGTAGCATCTCTTGTGAATGGGTTTATAAACTGCATACTGCCTTCCCAGAGCACTGTTTTGTAGCAACAGGCAACAATAATGTGAATCCAAAGTTGTGCATAGATGGATGAATGACCTGACCAAGCTTAAAAATGGATTAGCTTTTGATGTGGATTTTACTCAGGCGGAAAAGATTGACTTGACCAGCTGTACTACGTGCTTGGAGAACAAATCTATTGGTGGTTATAGTGATATTTTTCCATTTTGGTGGATGATTTTTCTAGAATGGCATTTGTGTTTTTCTTCGATCAAAATCTAGGTCTTCAGTAAAAAATAAAAACGATTTTGCAAAATTTCGTTTCAAAACTGCATTTGATTAAGCATCAAAATACGCAACTTTGCCAAATTTAAACTACCTACCTGTCTCTTACAGTTCCCAAAATCCCCGTGGTGGCCCTCGAATTTGAATCAGCCTGTATAGTTCAATCATTTTCAAAGTTTCAAGTTTCAAACACGGTCTCTAGTGTGAGAAGCAACTCCTCGCCAGTCGCCAGTGTGTTTGTATTGTGAAAGTTAGGTTTTCCACTCATTTTTAGGAATATTTACGTTATTATAATACACAATACTTACATTTTAGTTACAATATTCATAAACACTGCAATACGCGTCAGTTGTTCTGTACTTCAGTTTATATTTCCCATCGGCATATAAAACACATACTTTAAGTACCGAGCGGGGTATAAAGGGTTTTTCATTAAGAGCGCTCGAACTTTGAAATGAAATAAAACAACCTGTTTAAGTGATATTACCACAAGTTTTATAATATTTTAAAGGATATTCGATGACATTATTTATGGAAAATAATTTCAGTCAAATGGCCCCCGCGATTCCGCTGTGGACGTTGCATTGTGGTGGACCAATTTTGGACATGTTCGCTTAAACTGGGCTGAATTTCACGAAGAAAGCGAGTTATACCGGTCTTTAGGGCAGCAATTGACTTTGATTGGTCTGCATAGACTAGGGAACTGAAAACCCAAGTCTCGGCGCAAAATCCGCCAAGTTAACGTCCCAGAAAGACCCATTTCTTGCACACTATGCAGAATGGGCTGCCTGTGGTTTTCTCGCACACTGTCCCAAACGGCAATAATATTCTCCAACGATCTTGCGTTTCTTTGACGTACAGGAACTGCTTCATCAATCACTGACGCCGTTGTCTCAAATTTTTTATTAAAAAACGGATTGTAGACTCTGCAGGACGTCCATGACCGCCATAAATTGGATGCAACGCACGGAACGTTAGGTGAACGGATCCCTAATTTCGATAATCAATTTTAACCATTTCTACGCCTTGTTGAAGTGTGTATCGTTCCATGGTGAAATGACAGAACTAAATATGTACTCATGCCAAATTTGACAGCTATCGCTTCAGCAAGATGGCTGCTATGCGCTGTCAAAGTTCGAGCGTCCCTATTGAAAAACCCTTTATTTGTACCCCAGCCATTCAAATCCAGTGTAATTATGGATGTGTACAAGGAGCTTTCACATGATTTTGTACGGATCTATTTTTTATGTTAAACAAGAGATAGATAACCGGGGAGAAGACAAAAAAATTATTTTTGGATTTATGAGCCATAATGTGTGCTTAATGTAGTTTCGTACTCCGCTTGGTATTATGAAGGTTAAATAAACAAGTTAAAAAGTAATCGTAAACGATTTACATAAAGCGCATTTCCACTTGCATTCATTTCCCATTTGTAAGATGTAACTTCTGTTAAAATCGTAAAAATCCGGCCACAAATATGAAAGATAGCGTTGCACATGGGCAATCCATTTTTGACGTGCTACTTCAATTTCAGTTTATGAGAAGAGTTTCATTTCAATGCTTTTCTCAATAAGAAAGTTGGAACTGCGCATGCGCAAACCTAAATTTTGAAACTAATGTTAGATTTTCCTTTGTTCCAAGCGCCTAAGTATCAAATTTCACTTAAAGCTTCCATAGATAAAAAAGTTGGCACTGAAGCGCATGCGCAAAAACCAAATTTTTGAAAAACTGGCGTTTGATTTTCCTTTATCCCAAGTGCCTATGTATCAAATTTCGTTTAAATTCTTCCATAAATAAAAAAGTTGGCACTGCGCATGCGCAAAACCAAATTTTGAAATGGGCGTTTGATTTTCCTTTATCCCAAGTGCCTATGTATCAAATTTCGTTTAAATTCTTCCATAAATAAAAAAGTTGGCACTGCGCATGCGCAAAACCAAATTTTTAAATTGGCGTTTGATTTTCCTTTATTCCAAGTGCCTATGTATCAAATTTCATTCAAATACTTTTATAAGTAAACAAGTTTGCAATTCAGCTTATAAATGGTCGAGATGCGAAAAGGGCACTGTGAATTTTGAATCGATTCGATTCAACTTTTGGCATTGCGTATTATATGGCTAAAGCTATGCCCATATCGAATTTCATGCAATTCAGTTCATAACTAACGGAGATGTAAAAGCGATCGAACATTTCTAAACAAAGTTATCGTTCACACAGACAGATAGATGGATAGACAGACAAAGGAACAGACGGACAGACCAACAGGCAGACGACAGATAGCAATGCAAAATTATAAACGATCTCTAGGATCGTTAATAAACGGCAAAAGTGTAAAATTATGGAACATGTAAAAAAACGGTTTTTTGTTTTTTTTACAATAACTTTTTTTGTAAGCGGTACAAAAAAAATTCCTTCCTTGGTACAAGACTCGACACCATAACGAACCAAATAGCGAAAAAAGTAGAACAATAGCTCTTAAGATAAAGAACTAGTAGCGTCGCAAAACGAGCGGACGGGCGGAAGGACGGACGGACGGACAAAGTGGCCACAATAGCGCATTTTTTTTTATTTTTGTGGAAATGCGCTAAAAAGTGTGTGTAAGTAAGATATCATCAAAATTTTTTATTTGTTTGAAAGACCTATCGATGCCATTGTGTACGGAACATAACATCGTGAAAATCTCCGCCGAGGATTCGCTGGGTGGCGCGCAACCGAAATGTTCAAATTTCCATAACTCTGGCGCATAAGTCAGGCCCGAGGTCAGGCCCAATTTGACCGATGGCGTGGATTATATAGACTTTAAGGGCCGCTGTGGTTTCGTGCTTATAGCCGTAGACAAATCACACGAGTTGTGTGACGGTGTCCATATCATTCAGTTCAGACCAAAAGAAGTTAGTAATTGTCGACATATAGCGCTAGCAATTGAGAGAGTTCTCTGAGTAATACGGACTGATGACGGCGCCATTGCCAGCCCAAAATCCACACCAAACAGTGAGTTTTTCGAGAAGCATGGGATGCTCTGAGATCTCATGTGGATTAATACCGTCCCATCCAGAAATGGATTTCATCGCGGAAGATTTTTCAATGAAAGTATTGGTTGACTGTTTACTGAACCAGTGGACTCAAATATATGCACCACTTAGCGAGTTGTTCTTTCGGTGGGACCATTGTATCGACTATGCAATAGGCGAAGCATGCGGAACGTTAACCCTCACAGAACATCCATTTTGATCATAAAAATTTTATCATTTACACGAGTTGTTGAACGCTAATATATCTTTCCATGTTGATTTGGCAAAACACACTGATAGGCCAGTAAGGGCCGGTTGTATAAAACTTTACTACAACCGAAGGTTGAACAACCGACGGTTCAATTCGACCTTCGGTTGGAAAACGCAGGCGTTGTATAAAACAAAATATATCGGCGTTTGGGTAACCTGGAGTTGAAAAAAAAAATTGTAAAGTTGGTCATAGTGCAGGTTGGAATTCAACCAATCACGTAAGAGATGTGTTTGACAGGTATAAATATAAACAGCTGATTTAAATTGTGGATTTCTAACCAAAAAGTACACTTGTGAATTGCGATTTTTTTATCAGTTTGTCTTATTGTTGTTCATATAATATAAATTTTGTTGACTCGAGATTGGTGTTGAAGTTACCCTTTGTTACAAGGTAAGTGTATTGCGAATAAAATAATTGTTAGTAAATTGTAACTTGCAGATGAGTGTACCACGTGCAAAGCGTGTTATCTTTAGTGATAATGACATGAATATGTTAGTGGACTTGGTGTATAAGTATAAACATATAATTGAATGTAAGAAAACAGATGCACTGACATGGAAAGACAAGGTAAATAGCTAAATTTTGTACCTACTTTTAACATGGACATATTATTTAATATAGGATGCAACATGGATAAAAATATCAGATGCTTTTAATGCAAGCGTCATGGAGAAGAAGACACCTGAGCAACTACGTACCAAGTACGACAATTTGAAAAAGGATGCAAGGCGATACTTTGCAAAGCAGAGGCAAGATATTTATAGAACAGGTGGGGGTGTTATTGAAAATGTCATCAGGGATATTTTAAAACACAAATAAATACACACAGAAATATTGTAAACAGTGATTAATTTGAAGTTTGCACTTACCTATTACTTATAGTTGCAAACTGGCCCTCGATTAATTCTAATAAAAAAAGAACAGATTCCTTTTGCAAACGAAATCTCATCGTAAATTCCTGGTCAGACCACTTTGTAAAATTATCTGGTCTTTCTCGAAATGTACGTTCGCGCCTGACTCTACGATTTAGCTCTAAAAGTAATCTGAATCTGTAGAGCTAGAGCTGCTACTACTATTCATAACTTCATATTGATCAGAATCTGATGATGCATCCATAATAAACAGAAACTTAATTCCAATTATCAACAAAATATGAAAGATGAAACTCAATAAAATACACGCGATGTACTCGGGAAAAAATCATAACCTATAAATTGAAATTCGAACTGGCGGTTGACTAGCCAATCGCTACTTGGACTACAGGTTGACCGAACCGGCGGTTGAACCGTCGGTGTAGAGTCAACCTGAGGTCGTGCAACACAATCTTACAATTAACCTCCGGTTCAAATTCAACCTTTAGTCAACCGGACTTTATACAACCGGCCCTAAAAGACCGTTTTGCCGTGTAATTTTTCGCGCCTCGACGGATTTGCTTCAAAATTTGGATTTAGGTTCCTCTTACCCTCTACTTCAAAGGTGAACTTGAGCCCAGGGTTGCTTTTACTTGGGGGATGAATGCCACCCCTTCTCGGGGGAGAAAAAAGATACGTTCAAAATAAGGAAATCCGGAAATTGATAAATTGAGTAATTCTAAGCAACTTTTATTCTATAGAGTTTTTTCACTAAGTCAATAGTATTCGAGTTAATTGCGAGTGAAAATGTTCATTTTTCAACAAAAAAAACTACGTTTTCAGACGGTTTTTCGCAAATAACTCTAAAAGTAAGTATTGTATCGAAAAAAGTATTCTTAGCAAAAATATAGCTTATAAACAGACAAACAAAATGGTCTATATATGAAGTCTGTAGACCCAGTAGAAGCAAAGTTGTAGCTCATGAAAAGTAGGTTCTCATTCGTCAAATTCCAAATCGAGTACTTCAACATGAAATAACTAAAAAATGAAGCACTTTTCGGGGAAAAGTTATGAATACTTTTTTAAAGTGTTTGAAAAAACCTTTCTTTTTGTTTTTAAGAAAAGTTCCTAGCATCAAAACTAAGTGAGTTACGCTCAAAATAAAGTTGGTCTTTTTTTTGGTAAAAAAAATCGAGGAAATCACCCCCTAATTAGCACCCCAATTGTAATTAAGCGTTACCGCTTTACAGTTTACTTTATTTATGTATTGTTTATATGATCTGTAAGTTTGACCGGTACAAAGTGCTTATTTTTGAAAAAATGTAGTTTTGAAGTAAAAAAAAATTTTGAAATTTTGAAAAGTCTTTTTTTTTCAAATAACTATTAGTGTATTAGTTTAGTTTACTACAGTGGGCAATTTTTCACTAACTAAACTAATACACTAATAGTTATTTAGAAAAAAAATGACAATTTTTCAAAATTTCAAAATTTTTTTTTACTTCAAAACTACATTTTTTCAAAAATAAGCACTTTGCACCGGTCAAACTTACAGATCATATAAACAATACATAAATAAAGTAAACTGTAAAGCGGTAACGCTTAATTACAATTGGGGTGCTAATTAGGGGGTGATTTCCTCAATTATTTTTACCAAAAAAAAAAGGATCAACTTTATTTTGAGCGTAACTCACTTAGTTTTGATCCTAGGAACTTTTCTTAAAAACAAAAAGAAAGGTTTTTTTCAAACACTTTAAAAAAGTATTCATAACTTTTCCCTGAAAAGTGCTTCATTTTTCGGTTACTTCACGTTGAAGTACTCGATTTGGAATTTGACGAATGCGAACCTACTTTTCATGAGCTACAACTTTGCTTCTACTGGGTCTACAGACTTCATATATAGACCATTTTGTTTGTCTGTTTATAAGCTATATTCTTGCTAAGAATACTTTTTTCGATACAATACTTACTTTTAGAGTTATTTGCGAAAAACCGTCTGAAAACGTAGTTTTTTTGTTGAAAAATGAACATTTTCACTCGCAATTAACTCGAATACTATTGACTCAGTGAAAAAACTCTATAGAACAAAAGTTGCTTAGAATTACTCAATTTATCAATTTCCGGACTTATTTTGAACGTATCTTTTTTCCCCCCCGAGAAGGGGTGGCATTCACCCCCCAAGTAAAAGCAACCGTGGGCTCAAATTCAACTTTGAAGTAGAGGGTAAGAGGAACCTAAATCCAAATTTTCATGCGATTCGGTGGAGACGCGGAAAATTACACAGTATCGCCGTATTCCACGTTCATTTACTGGCCTATGAATAAATTACAGCCAATTCGACAGACATAGTTTCAACAATACGGCCGATATCAACTGTTAAAGATCGGAAGTCTCTATTGCAAGACCCGTTATAAGATGAATAAAAGGGTTTTCGACAGTTTGTAACCTTTTTGAAAGTCGCTTTGCTTTATGAGATATGCACCACAAAACAGTTTTTCATTTTTTCAACAAATTTTAAATGTTATAAAATGAGAGTAAACTTCATCCCGACTTGTGTACACCGTACCAAACAGTATTACCGTTGAGTGAAAGAATCGAGACTTTCACTCAACGGTATTACCGTTGAGTGAACTTTCACTCAACGGTATTACCTTGTATTCATTTGCATTCATTCTTACAGATCAATAAAATTGCCGAGATGATGATGACAAAATTGGAGCTTAACGATGGAACAGAAGCCAACTTGCACAGATTCAGTAGGTATCTACTTATTATTAGCGAATGTACCCCCACCCTTTACTTCAAAACTTCTTAACGTTCACTAATTGAAATCGGCAACGTTTCGCAATTCTTTGAATCTTGATTATTATTATTGCATAACCTATTTAGTGAACAAGCCTTGTATAACAATGGAGTACTGTAACTTTGGTTTCTACCAAGGTTACAGTACTCCATTATTATACAAGGCTTGTTCACTAAATAGGTTATGCAATAATAATAATCAACTGACCTTTTTACTTATGCTGGTATGATATGGATGCAGTTCAGATGACAGTGCGAGTCTGTTGTGGTGCTTACAACAGGTCTACTACTGAACTTGAAATATAAAAACTATTAAAAATTATTAAAAAAAATTGACGCATACGTCTGAAAAATAAGGTAATTGAACGCTGCGCCACTTTAAAAACTAAAAGTTCACAGTATCTACTCAATTATAATGGAATGATTAATGTATTTTGTATATAACACTTATGGACCTCGTTCAGTACATAGTACTGTTCCTTATAAAAATAAATGGTCAACAATGTTTGGTATACTTCGTGATTCCAACCCATTGCAGTTTTGGAGTCTTTGTAAAGCCTAAAGCCAGATCATGTTGACAAGCTTGCAACAATGTAAAGTAATTGACTTGATTATTGACAATGTTTTTTCGCAAACTAAGATAACCCAGATTAATTGTTATCTTATCAATTATATGATTAAACGGTTACGTGTTTTTATATATAAAATAGATCTGTCAGTTATAATTTTATTGTCGTAGAACATCGTCGACTGCAACTTGCAAGTTACCTAGTAACTTTTCAACCGCAACAATGTTGAACGTTATGTCTTTCTGCTTTTGGTCGTTCGCTATGGTTATCTTCGTGACAAATCGTAAGTACAGTTCTTCAAAAAACAGTTTTCAAAAACCAATGCATTACTTTAATTCTGCTCTTTGAAATGAATTCCCAACATCGTGGACAATGCGTATAGTTGCATTTCCCAATACATCTTTTGACGTTCATCTACGTCGTAACAAACTGATAAAGACTCACGCATTTGTCGGAATTAATTGATACATTGGTAAAGAGTAATTTTCCATGCCAATTTTTCCTGTATTAAAAGTTAGCTAAATGATCTAATTGTGAATTTTGATTTCAGCCGAAGAAGCCGATATGGTTATGAATCCAGATACCGCCCTACTGATGTGTATAACACCAAGCCACATCCTTCGGGTAACTCTGAACCTGAGCACCGTAAGAAAGTACTTAAGACTGTGCCGATATGTATGGTGAAACGATTACCCATATTATTTATTTATATGAGCTTTATAAGCTTGCCCCAAATCAATGTGATATTAGAATAAGAGTAGCTGTTAGTATGAAGCAAATACATGTAATAAATGTATATTTATTAACGACTCATTGACACAACCTCCTTTAAATGTGCGGTTATACCTACTCTAATTATAGTTTTGATCAAATGAGGATGATGTGTGCTCAAATACGCAAATTATACTCTATACACGTAGTCAATAACTTTCAGATAAGGTAAGTCAAAAACAAAGTGACCACAATAGCGCATTTTTTTTTAATTTTTGTGGAAATGCGCTAAAAACAAAACACGAAGCAACACCATTGAATAATCCTCATGTGACTGTGATCATCTTTGTCACCTAATCCGAAATAATTGTGGGTATTCGTAATGAAACTGCAAAATCTACCCAATATAGTGTACTAAATTATACTATGGTGTAGTGTATAGGGTCAAGGATAATGAATTATAATCAAGTCAAACAAAACATGTTGGAGGCTTGTCTCATTTGTTTGTCAACAGCACTTACTACTCAGTGTATAAGGTGCAGTGCGTCGTTTTTTTACCTCTATTAGATTATCTATATTAAAATAACTTATCACTTGTCCAGGCGCTTAAATACTCTTCAACGTAGGTCAATAACAGGTCTCCTATCTCTCCAACAGTAACATATTTATTTATTTATTTTATTTTTGCTCTATCAGCTTTATAATGGTAGGCACTCTTCGGTGCAGATTTATTGAGAAACGGGCTGTTAGGCCACTTCCACGCTTATGGAAATCTTAATTTAATTTGACTTGAGGATTTTGTTTAAACCTGATGGTCAAATAATGCTCTTTTTTGTAGTTTCTTTACTATTGTAGCATTTACCGTCTTGAAAAAGTTAACTAATGTAGAAAATCCGTGAATACCATTTGATTCTCTCTCAAGAGCTTTGCACCTAAACGGTTTTCTTGCTTAATCATTTTATCACTTTTTCTTAACAACTTTGTTTATCGAGATAAAGTTTGAAAAATAGTATACAAGTGACTGTTCATTTAAAAGTCCATGAAATCAATGTTTTTGGAGATAAAGTGTACCTACTTGTCTGTCAGATAGGGCAAAGGACACGATAGTGGTATAAAGCAATGGGTGTGAAAATCAGAATTTTCTGCCTACGAATTTCAGTTTTGTGGCCCTGATTGATTATTTTTGATAAAGCATCAGGCATCGCCATACACACCTTATTTGAAAAACGCAGTCTCATGCTTTGGATAATACAGCTTTACTCATGACTGACGTAGGCTGATTAGAAACGTCTGTCTCACAGTTGCGGTACCCTAGTTAGTCGATCGCAGAACTGTATTAATCAGCCAGGAATGAACACACTCAATATGCAAGCTGTACCGGCACCGTTCATAAAAAATCGGTGCCATCATTGCGCGATGAAATGAAGTGTCTGTTAAGTGTCAAAGAAATGGATGTATTCAAATATGCTAGTGTTTTTCAACCTGTGGATGTCGCGAAGTCTTGCTTGGGGAGTCGCGGGTAAAGGAAAGATACAATATTGTTCATGGGTCCTATACTACAATGAAAAACTACAATTTAGTGCGAAGGTTGTGCCTGTTTATTTTTCAATAATTTGTTGAAACCTGGTTCTATTTTTGATACGCAAACGATCTTTACTTTATAATTGGAGACTATTTTTTTCTTAGTTTTTATGTTTAACCTTGAAGAGAATGTTAGTTCACATAGGAGGGTTTTTGATCACGATAAGAGTTCGCATGAAAGTATATGATCCTTTTGTTTTAATTTTGCCGCAAAATCTCCGACTTGTGCGCGTTGTTTAACAGAGGTACATCAAATTACCTAGTGACATCTACATGCTAAGAACGGATATTTCCGATTGCCTCCAAATTTGGGCTTCGCATTGTGCTCATTTCGAAAGGAGACTGTGCTCAACATAAATAAACACTTGGGCTGTGGAGGGAAGGCTTATTTTAATAAAAATGTGAACATAGACATTTCTTTGCGTTAAGTTTAATCAAATTTTCTGTATTTTGCGTATTTTGATCTGGGCAATAACCGTTGTCTTCACTTTGTGAGTACTCTATCTCCACACTTCGTTCTTCAACATACATCATATCTCCGTTACTAGTGAGTCATTCAAATCAAATGTGGTACCGTTGGATTAGATCTTCCGACTTTCCGTTCTCGAGATAATCGCATTTGATATTTTAGTTCCATCAAAAATGCGTTTTGTAAACCCCTTCACTCTTTTCTTTGCGAGTACGCACTGCCGACATTCCATTCTGTAGATAGTAGAACTTGCAGCCTGGCCCTTCTGACAAGTGCGTCTGCTATATTATTTCTATTTCACTTTCAAAATCTGTTAATTTGGAACATAATTTCAAAATTTCCTCTTCTTCCTCCCTAAAGGTTCTATATCTTCTTTCTTCTTCGTGTCTCCGCTTCTCCTTCCCCCTCTCATCATGACCGCATCTGAATCGCGCCATCGTTTTAATATATCCCCTTCCCTCTCATAAGTATTGCGGTACCCCTCCCTTATTATTCCTTATAGCTATTGTTTAATAGAACTTTTTCCTTTGTTCTTCCCACATTGATTTTGTCTACACCCTCGTTGTTAACCATTCTTTTACTAGTTCATTTTCCCTTTCACTCCTTTCTACGAACCTTACCGCCCTGCGTCCCGACGCTATCTTGATCTTCTCCATTTTTGTTTCATCTTCTAATACACAATTCAGTGCCCTTCCGTTTATCTCTAATACCCATTTATAGCGTCTTTGGATTCCTCCTGGTACCTCCCATTCCTTCCCCTCCTATATCTCCGTTCCGTACCTAAACACCCCTCTGACCAATGCATTGAACACGTATTTTTTTGTTCTGAAGTGATTCTTGAAACACCTCTACCTTATTCCCCACACCTGTCTCACCGCTACAACCTCATTCATGTTTCCTTGTTTATCTTATTTGCGCTCCTCGTACTTCGTTTATTCTCCCCCTCCCCCATTCTCTCCTTTTCTTCCTCCCCTCTTTCCAAAATTTCATCCATTTTTCTACATTTGACTCCGTCCTATTCCTTTTCTAGTGCTTTCCATCAATTCCTTCATTTGGTCTACCGCACAAGAGACCATACCTTCCTTCTTCCCACTACGATTCTTCCACTTTGGCCCTTCCTTAAAATTTGTTCCATGCCCTTTAGGTAGCGATAAAAATAAAGATAAAGGTTGCCCCTGTTTTAATCCCTTACATGTCCAAAATACTTCGGACTCCTTCCCTTCTATTTTGACCATAAGTCAATTTCAAACGCAATTCCGTTTCCGCCCTTTTTTCCAATTCCTATTTCCATCAATCCGCATAGTACATATATACAGTCGATTGTTCCCTTCCTTTTTCTACAGCCCATTTGTGTTTTATTAAACACCCTCTCCTCTCCTTTCCTATTTCTCTTTCTAATCTTTCGTCCCATGGATTCTATACGCTGTCGTCATTATCGGGATTCATTTTCCACACAATCCTAGTCACCTCTTTTCACTTTTGAAAATCGACGCTATTACCTTCTCTTTCCATTCTTCAGGCAATTCTACTCCTACTAGACACCTCATCTTGGCCTTGGTCCTATGTGTGGCGAAAGTCCAAGCCTTATTTCCTATTTCACTCATCCTGCTGCTTTTTCTTTCTTCAGATATTATCTCATCTTCTTCAACGTATCTCTTCCATAACATCCCCTTTCTCTTGCTTTCCTTGTAGTACCATAAAAAAATGTTGTTCCCATTCCTCTAATTGTATGTCCCTCCCTCTTGTTCTTTTTCCTCTATATTCACCTTCCAAAAGTCGTTTCTTGTTTTTATTTCGCTGATTTGCTCGTCTTTTGTTTTATATTTTTATTTTGTTTTATACTCTTTTCAGTTCTCTCAACTCTTTCTCCCCCTCTAGGTGGCGAATTGATGCCATACAAATAGGTTGATTCTCATACTAACGAAGATGATGTCAACTATCCACCGGAATGTTTACATTTGCTGCAATTGCCTTCATTATGCTGCGGAAAAACCAGTCACGTCTTTGTAATGGCTTCCTGCATGCGGTGAACCAATTAATGAACAATTCCACCGAAGCCGCAATTTTGAAAGACGAAGACGTTTTGATTCCACGCATCCCTATGATTCCTAACGACCGACATGCCATTCGACTATGGCTATGCTATGTCGGTAATTAAATGAAAATGTAGTCTTTAAGTGTTTCTGGATCAATCTGGAACGTCCATGTTTTTCACATGGTCAATTTGTGTCGGAAAACCTTAACCTTTATTCATTTACGCGCCAGAAAACAAAGTTATATATGTTTTGTATCAAACGTTACGTTACAGACGTTATCGCGTTTTTAAGATAATTTACCGAAAAACAATTGACAAATCCGCATATTATTAATTTTCAGTAAGTATACGAAAAATACTTCGTATTACTACTGAATTGTACTTTCAAGTTTCACAGTCAACATTATTCTTATCGCTATATCGCCGTTATCATAGACAATTACGAACACTCAGAGCCGTCTATTTTCGGACGATCGTCCCAGCTTTTATAAAAATACCCTTGCATTCTAAAAAATTTGGCAATATTGTCAAATTTTGTAAAATGTGAAGCTATCCTAGCTAACCTCTGAAATTTGGTAGTTCTCTATGATTCTTCGTTCTTAAGCTTAGCTTTAGTGGGTAACGTAATGAATGATAGTACAAAGTTCTCAAATTTTCTCTTTTGCTTGCTAATTTCTTTAGTGAACTTTAGTAAAAACAGTTTCAAATCGAAAGCTATGTATGTGTACGTGTAGAACTTTTTTCTCAAAGAAGGAATGAACTGAAATAAACTGACTCCTTTGTAACACCGTATATTACATCTTTACAACGATAAAAGTTGGGGTACAAAATATTAAAAAATAAACTATTAAGCACACTGACGGCACATAGAATTTTACAATTTTCTATTGTCGCATACATAATTGCTTTAACAGTGATATACTCGTATATATATAGAATAAATTTTACACCTCATATATACAGGTACAAAGCGTAGGTATGTACAACCTAGCAATTATTATTTAACTAATAATAAGTAGGTAGTTAATTGACAATTTCATGCAGTATAGCAATAGATATATAACAATAACAAATAATATTCCCTAGTGCATAATTATGTAGTGTGGAAAACCGATTTGAACACATTTATTTCATCCAACATCAATGGGTTGTAGGTAATTAAAACATTTTCCGAAACGGTGACTGACGTGCAAACTAATCAAAACTAAATAATATAGATAATAAAACCGACACCGCTTACTACCCCTTCTATTTTTGGCTGTTACATAAGTATGTGTGTAATTGTAGGCACGTAAATTAAAAATGAGATTAGTCACTTTTATTAGGAGAAACACATGAGTTGCCCTTCTGCTTTTGCGTTATTCCCGTTCTTCACGATTGCGTTAAAATTTGGTTTTTCCAAAAATAAAGTTTCCGGGATCGGATGGGTTCTCAGAAATGAAAAATTGGTTCCAAAGTTTCTTAAACTGGTCGTAGGTTACCTGCGGTTCTCCCTGTAAACAATAATATCTATTAAATGCGAGCTAGACTTTTACTCGGTATAATAACTACACAATGATTGGTATTAGTTACTGTCACCTGTAAGAAAGCATTAAGTTGTTTTCCTAAATACAAGAACCGAAGAGCACTTAACAAATTGATCGTGCTTAGTACATGTTCATTAGTATTCGAATTTCGACGGTTGCCATGTCCTAGGCCATGTCACTTGAAGTTTGTTTAGAAAAATCACTGTCTTTAGCAACAAAATGAATTTGGTCGAAAAAGATAATAGATCATCCTATCAGTTTTTTGTTGCAAAAACAGAATAAAAGCTGGTACTTACAAAATTCAGTAAAGCCTATTACAAAGAGTATTAAGAGTTGTTGGCGATACATGAATAAAAACAAGGTCTTAAATGGAGGAATTGTTAAAAGTATTTAAATTGGTACATTCATTTAAAACTACAAACAATGCTGCAATTGAAAAATAAAACAGTTTGGCAGCACTGCGTAAATTACGCGCGTTTGTAAAACCTTCATACGATAGATATAATCCAAAGAAATTTTTTGCATTTACAGAAAGCAACCTACGAACATTTTTGTGTTGGCCCGAGATGACAGTTTCATGCGTCAAATTTGAAGTAAGGTGTCCTTTTTAAAACACGGCGTGCTATATGCAATGGGCACATTGAGACACGCGGCGCGCGCAACACAACCCACGGTCACACTGCACACACGCCTTGTGTTCTGTTGAAATTACTAAAATTCGGTGTCAGAAACACTGTATCTCTCGGCCTACTAAATAGCTAATAAAATAAAAATACAATTTCTCTTTTAGCGCATGCACCAAGTGAATTCAATGTCACTGAAACGCAAACAAGGGGGTTTTCTCTGAACTAAATACTGTCAGGTTAAAAACAGGAGAAGGAGGGGGGATGGTTCTCTGAACTAAATTAAAACCAAGGCCACGGAAAGGCAACAGTAATGTCTTCAATTATATTGACGAAATGGTTTTTTGCTTTTAGCATAGGCCGAAACTGGGGGTTTCTTAAAATATTGCCCGAAAAGCTTAAGATATTAAAAAACAAATGAAAGTGTACCTTTTACATAAACAGCAGACTGTATGTTTATAGTTGAATGCTTATAATTTTTATGAAAAAGTGAAGATTATGTCGATTTTGTACAGGAATCAAACACAAATTACGAATTTCCGTAAAGCATGGATAGAAATGTGTTACAGAGAGTCAGACAGAGGCTGCGACAACTCCATTCGTCTCCGAGTCGACAGTTTGGTATGGAAACTCACTTGATCTGGCGCAAGTCACCTCTATCCCTAGCAAACGGCTTAGACTAACCGTTTGAGCTCAAGATCTCCAACCTCCAGAAGTAGACATATTGAGGCCTGGCGCACTGAACCCTTCGTCACCGCGACGTTGGGTCAAGGCGTTCCCAAGCTGCATTGAAATAAATACTTCTTCTTTGCTCGTGTTGAAATCGTTGATGTGCATCACCGTAACCGATCACGTGACGCTCCCTCCTGCTAACACCTGGCGCTCCACCTGGTAACAATGAGCTATGTTCTGTTTGCGGTCCGTGCAGAATTGTTCGCGAAGTAACTGTCATTTAGTCCGCGGGAATGGATTGAATAACTTTCAAATGGCGTTAAAAACGTTACCGCATGTGTTTTCTGTTTTAACAGATCAGAGCAACAAGACTGGGTTAGTTCTATGCCACCACTAGAAGCTTTGGATCCGGATAATCTTATTCCCGCTGAATGAGCAGATTTGAGCTTGTAGAATATTGCAGATTGGGTGTTGATATATTGGCGCAGACGTATCTTAAACTTAAGGAGCTGATCGGGGAAGGGAATGTCTGTCCGTTTACCAAAAGCGCCACACTACCTAGTGTTCGTAATAAAAAATTATGGAGTAACGTTATAGATCCACAGTAACGAAATCGTATAGATTGAAAGACTTGGGTTACAGCATCGTCGAAATGTGGGAATGTGATTTCCGACGTGTACTGACAGAGAAAATATCTAGTTATACGGATGCCCACCCCACCACTAAAGCCGAGAGATGCATTTTATGCTGGCCGAACCAGAAATGCAAAATCCTTATATAAAGATGAACAAAATGAACAAATAAGATACGTAGATTTCAATTCTCTGCACCTGTACATAAACAAAAATGATACCCCTTGGGACGCCCCGTGATTCATACTTCGGAACTCTGCAGTAAATTAAATATGTATACCACAGAAAAAATAGTCAAGTGTAAAATAGTGTTACCTATAAGGATGAATAACAAATTGATGTCGCGCATGTACTAAAAGTTTCAAACAAGGACACTGTCAACATAACGACAATGAACGAGCTTTTTGGCAGACGCCTGGGTAATTGATGAAGGCTGTCGATATGGTTATTTCTCTAATGGATGTGTCTTTGGCTTGTGTATATTGATTAATTATCGATTTCGGAGATTTCCTCCAGGAAGACAGTCACTTGACTAGCCAGACTAAAACTGATATATAATATAAGTCCCGCAATGATCGAATCGAATCGGTTATCTGTGGACCGATTTTTTTCAAATTAGAGTAAAACTTTAGAGCAAAAAGCACAGAATTAATTGGCCAGAGTGGCAATTTTCTTTCACCTCTGATTAATCGAAAAGTAGCCCAATGCTACGTTCCTCTTGAAATATATGTTACCCATAAGAAAGAAATTGTTTGTTTTGAAAACAAAAATTGTATTAGTAAGACAAAAACTACAGGACGGCCTGTCTACCAAAATAATCAAAACTATCGAATGTGGACAAATCAAAATCTACATATAATTTTGAAGGGACTAGTTGGAACTTGGATTAGAATGAATACAAAATGCACTGTAGCTTAGATTTTTTCCACAATACCATTACTGCACAAAAATACCATATAGGCATATTCATTTTAACAATGGTGAATTGTGGACAGGCTATTTTTTTAACAAGATGGAGAAAGCGAAGCACCTCTTAGGACATACTGCTCCATTATTTATAACAACTTTACGACAATCGCTTAGTTAGGGCCGAAATATAGTCCTTTTTTTACGTCAAAAAAGTAATCTTACGAAACCCTTTCCACACCTCTCATTAACTTCACGAAACATTTAATAACGAACTGGATTTGTCAATTCTTTAACCCATGAATAACGTGACTGAGCAAATTCAAAATTTATAGTTTGTTGTGTAACTGAATATTAAATCAAGGAACAATTAAAATGACTACACGATGGCGCATCACTGGAATTAATTAAATATAATACCAACAAATATTTCGTTTTGCGGGAAATTCAAACGATCTTTGTTTGCCCGCGAAAAAGTAAAAATAGGTCAGAAATTAGGGAGAAATAACAAATATTATTCCCTAAAAAATAATGATGCACGTTTGTGGTTGCGATAGAATAATTCAGCGTGCGCTGAATATTGTATTTCTGTTGATTCGACTGCTCCATATTAGAACTAGAAAAATTAACCAAATATTATTCCATTATGAATGAATAATTGTGGGGCAATTAAATTCACAGTTGCTATTGGCGTGATATTAAAGCGTAATCGAGGGCGTAATTACATTGAGATATGACTACTCCACCTCTAGTCCTCTACATACTTTGCAAAGTAATATTTTAGTTTACTTTGAGCCAGTTTCATTTAAAAACAAAATTCATACGAAAATGCGCAATAAATTTACATACGGCACACATCTTTTGAAAAGCAATTCTACATTCAGAGGCATCTACACCGTAGCATGAACAAACGCCAGTAAACTCTTCTACATCGATGGCTCCATCTCCGCTAGAGTCTTCCAAGTTGAACATGAATTTCAGATATTGAGTTTGCCAATCTAATGGCTTATCCGGTGTTTTAGCAAAATCGTCCCACATTTGGTACCACTCTTCGACGCTCACCTAAAAGCAAAATGCAATTAGCAAATTTACGCTCTCTCTTAGTACACGCATTTTAAAAATGTGGTTGTTAATACAAACAAAAAATTTACCTGCCCATCATTATTTGAATCGGCCTTTTTTCTTAGTCCATCCCATATTTGAATAAGACTGTCGTGTGTTTTTCTGTATTCTGGTGTTCCAGATTTCCAGCCTCTAAGAACGCACACTTTCTGAAAGAGAAGTACAATTTAAGTGAAGAGATTTAATGGTGACAGAATAGATTTAACCTCATTTTTATCGTACCCATTTGGGTGATTCAGTGTTCATGCATAAACCGCTTACCAAAGACGGATGGGCTTTGAGTACTTTTAAGTAAATTTTTTCGATTAAATTTATCATCGAATTCAGAAGTGATTGCTTAAAAACTTTCATTGTGTTCACAGCAGCGGTTCAATAAGAATAAATGACTTAATAGATTTGGAAAGAGTTAATTAATAATAAGGTAATAAAGACCGTAGGTACTGCTAAATCGAATAGCAAAATTGACTACCCCATCTGATATTTTTGACAGTTCGTTCTATATCTCAATCATTGCATCACCATGCGATGGGTATTTAATCGGTAGACATTGTTGCTCATGTAACAAAAGTTCAATATAGGTAGATACCCGGCCAACACTTATTGTGACAGTACCTACTTGTTAATAATCATTTGAACAAAGTGGTGTGCTCAATTATGTTTATCAAAAGGGTCAGTGAACTGATCTGATGAAACTCACCTCAATAGCTAATTCGAAATCCTTTCCATCAATGGTCCCGCTTTGGTTTACGTCTAAAAATAAAAATCCCGAATTATTATATTTTTAACATCCTCGTCATTATTGCATACGAAACGGTTTATTGATAAATGAAAACCCGAGATTAGTTTTCCAACCATGTCATTGTATTTCCAATAAGAAAAATTTCCAAACTTGGGGTTTATCATATGTAATCTAAAGTGCTCATGTTCATTATTTATAGGTATTGATGATGAAACAATATCGCTAGTATTTTGTTGGATCGTATCATAATTCAGTGTAATTTAGGGGTCTACTTTTTCTAAAAGCTTATCCAAATCGCGTATTAGACAGCGGCTTACAAGCACAGCTGTTAGCCATAGCAGAACCTCAGCTCTGTGAATATAAAATTTGTAATGTCCTCATTGTCTTAGACTTTTTGTAGTTTTCAACCTTGCTTTTCTGGCTGTTCGTCTTAGAAGCCTGGGTTTTTCTAATAGTACATGGCCGTATCTTGTCAGATTCTTTCTATTACATATTTTTCTGTAAATTATGAAATACAAAGACTTGGAATTAGTGTGGTAGCTTCATACTTTCGTGGCTAGTGATACTCACGCACCGGAAAAAATACCTACTTAAAAGATCTTAAGTTGTAACATGGTGAAAACTGTCATCATTATTTTAACAGAACTAGGCATATTTAAAGAGTCTGTGATATCACTGAAAAGAACCATAAAACTTCACATTGTGTCCACATTTTGTTCTTAATTTTCAGTGAGTATTTACATTCTTTTTTTGCGTTTATAGTTTTCTTTTTTTATTATTCAGACCTTTCCGGCATTTAGGTGAATGCATAGATTATTATTCAATAAATAAAATACAATATTATTATTGTTATTATTATTCAATTCTTCTCTTTAAGGAAGACCAGATGTTGCATTCAAAAACGAAACGTTCCAGTAGAGCAAAGAATAAAACAAAAGTACGACAAAAATTGCCCGCTTTATCCAAATTATATACCAGGGTTGCTAGAAAGGTTTCTGAAAGTCAACATTTTTAGAAACATCGTCACTTTTCTCTTACTTTATCATCGTGTGACTTCTTATTGTTTGCAAACATGAAAGATTTAGGTCATCTAACATACCTGTAAAAAGATTTAATAGGTACACCGAAGAAGGATGTAAGTATATGTATAGAAAAACTGTTACTACCTAACTATTTCAAAACTACTAAATATTGTATGTTTATGAAATTATGTCCCTGAAAGACGCAAAGGTGCAGTGAATGCAAATGAAATCGATGAACAATTCAAACTAATTTTTAGGTTTTCTATGTCAAAAAATCTGAAAATCTGCCTAGGTAAAATCTTATCCTCAGATAACGATGCTGTTGAGCCATTAAGAATGATTTTTCTGAACATGTTCATACATTTCTAATAGGCAATTATGAAACTTCCCTGAATTCCCTCCTATTGAACAACAACCCGTGTAGATACATTTTCTTATAAAACCAATAAGTTAAAAAATTTCTATGAAACAGAAACCCTGAAGTAACTTACCAAAGAAGATGTTGAAAACGTAGAGGAGCTTCTTCTTGCGAAAATCAGCCATTTGACACGTTATTTGACTAAAGGAATCTGAAACAGATGATGTATTGTTAGTATCAGTATCATAAGTTTTATTCGCAAAGTATTGATGCAGTAGCGTATGTGGATTGTGGAATTACTTAAGTTAAGAAAGTAGTAGCTATGCAACTGTTATTACCGAAAGAGCAGTTAACTCAGACGAGAATGCGAGATTTAATCCTGTGATTGGGATTTACTCCTACATACACGTGGATTGAGCATATACAGGGTGAGTTTTTTTTCACTTTCATTATGGGGATGTCGTAAACATACAAGCCATATACAAATTTTGAGAATATTAGCTTTGTTAATCGCTCCGATATATCTGATTTTACTTACACTTACGCTATTTGTGTCGTTGCCGAAGAATATACCTTCTGAGACCCGATTTTGTCAACGATTCCTTTTGTTAGTTGGAGAATTCATTCTTGTTAGTTTGATTACATTGTATACTTCAGATTAGCTGTGTTATACGAAGATATTAGTACCGTTGCTTTGTAAATTAGTTTGCGAAGTTACCGAGATAGTCGGATATCTATAATTTTTATTCACCTTACTTCAGTCATTATTTAAATTTTGAATTAATTAGATTATATTGCTGTCATACAAATTTAGTTATTTGTTCATCGTAAAGTAATTTTCAGGAATTAACCTTTATGCTTTCATACACTGATTTGTACGGACAGTTCCTGGTCGAGTCAAAATTTTGTTTTGTGTAGTTATCGTCAATTGAATTATTGATTGTTATTGAGTTACGATTTTAGTATACGATTTACCTGCATGTGCCCCCACTACTCCTCTTCTTTATTTGCGTTGTTATCTATTGCAAATGAGGCGGAATGCGCCCTTCTGAACTCACAAGGTCGTGACAACCTGAAATTCAAAGGTATTTTTTTTTAATTTTTGACAATTCTGATATACAATTTTTAAATCTGGGCTTGATGTTTTAGGATCCCGGCCTGCTTGGTCTCAAAAGAATTTCAAGTACATTTTTACATTTTAAAATCAAAGATGGCCGAAAAAAATGTTCAGGTTATGGTCAATAACACGGCAAACTGTTTAGAATACGAAATTATGTCCATATGCAAAATTTCAAGAAACATCTAGTAGGGGAGCTAGCACGAAATCCACTGAACGAGAATGATCAAAATTTTAACCGATGGAGTTCCATTTTGCCCCATAAGAGTATGCTAAAATCGATCGTCTGCCGCCTCAGATCATATGACTTAATAAGGCGCTGCGGGTACTTCTTGCGGTACCAATTCTGAAAGGTTGTTTTTCGAGAAATTAAGTTATACACCAAATGAAAACGTTGATAATAGCTCTTAAAAAAATATTTAAAAAAATCGCGCGCATTTGATAACTTATTATCTTAACATTATAAGATATCTTATAATTAGAGAAAAAATTTAAAAAAGAAACACTCTCATAGTCATTGGCTGTACCTATAATTAGTCTGTAAAAAAAATCAGCTTCATTCATCCAACGGTAACCTAGTTATATCCGTAGAAAGTTCGTGAAAAACCGACTAAGAATTGTTTTTTTACGGAGTTATCCAATGTGCGCGATTTTTTTAAATATTTTTTTAAGAGCTATTATCAACCTTTTCATTTGGTATACCTATAACTTATTTTCTCGAAAAACAACCTTTCAGAATTGGTACCGCAAGAAGTACCAGCAGCGCCTTAAGTCATATGACCTGAGGCGGCAGACGATCGATTTTAGCATACTCTGATAGGGCAAAATGGAACCCCATCGGTTAAAATTTTGATCATTCTCGTTCAGTGGATTTCGTGCTAGCTCCCCTACTAATCGTATCACTTTGATTGAACCAGTTTGATTTCATAATCCTGATCTCAGGATAAAGGCCGCATTTTCATTGACACTTCAGCGCATTTGAATACTTTAGATATTTTAAAATGTAGCAATATAAAAATACTTGATTTTTGGAAATGAAGACCGGATTTTGGATTCTGGATTACGATAGGAGGATGGACAGGGTCAACGCGTACCTAGGCCTTAAATTCGGGGCCTTTGTACTACTTCCCGGACTAGAGTTGTTCAACTCCTCAACGTCACTCAAGCCATCCCACACGTGAAATGAACCTAATTATGCTGGAAGGGAAGGTGGCTCTAATCGTATAGCCGCGTCCGGCGAGGATACCCCCAACATGGATTGTCTCAGTTGGACTAGAGCGAGAAATTCACGTATGTGGTGGACCGTCTCATCATCCGTGTAACATTCTATACAAGATGGTAATTCTCCTAAACCCATGTGTTTGTTTAGTTTGCAGTGCCCAGAAAGTATTCCCTTGAGTAACCGCAGGTTTTTTTCTCGATAGCCCTCTGCAAGAAACTCGCAGGTTCTTAGAACGCGTTTGTCGCGTAGCGATAATCTAATACCATGTTCCACATAGCCCTGTGCTGAGTTAGGGTTTCTTGAGTTATTAAGTTGTTTACAGTTGCAGCTTTAAGTGGAAGAGCCGACTCAGAACCATAAAACACCTGTTTTGAGGCCATTCGGGCTAACTCATGAGTCATGGGTTTTCTCATTTTCTCATTACCTTCCGTTCTACCATTTTGGGAGAAATATATTTCACAGATATTATATAGGTATACCAACACTTCAAATATCTTAGGGGTATCGATGCATTACTTGATCATTGCTAAGATATTTCTTACACAATGATTAGTATCTTGAGATTCAGTATTTATGTATTAGTAAAAAATTTCCAACTCTAATATGTAAAGCTGCTTTCCGTATATTCCTAGAAACCAGAAAGTAGAGGTCATAAGATTCATCAATTTGATTCCGTTAGGTACAAGTACTAGTCTATGTTCCGAAGTCAAATTAAGGAGGTCTATTCTATTGCAGATTTTATTCTCCCTTTACTGACCTTTCCGCCAACTGAGAACGAAGCCATTGTACTTTCAGATGGCTCGCCGGCCATTTAGTCATTGTCCGAACAAATTGAAAATTTTATTCGCATTTTGTGGCGGTGTAATGCCACAAAAACTGAAGACTGAAGTAACGTAAAAGTACAGAATCACATCAAATTATAGTTTTTTCAGTAGGAAAGTTTGTCGCATCAGTTTAACAGAAAAATTCAACCTACTGTCATTCATACAAAAAGAGACATAAGCAACGGATGGAATTATTAAGCACACAAATTAAAGATAATAAGTTACGAGACAAGAAATCTTTCCTAAAAATTTCACATTCATTTTTGCAGCCATAATGTGCTTTGAGCTTTCATGAAAAAGGCGAAAACCCGCAAGTAGGTGACGTATCTTCATGCACTTATTGGCGGAACGTAATCGTAATTATAATAAGAACTAGAAATGCCAGCCTCTACGGGCCTGTGTGACAGCTTACGTCAAGGTTAATATTAGCACAGGTAATCGGTGATACTCGCTGTGATATTAGCCTGCCGAAATACAGAAATTCTAAATAATTATGTAAAATAAAAAAATTCTACAGTGATCGGGAATCGAACCCGGTCCGGTCCGGTAATTTGTTCTGCTGATTTACAATTTTGTGCGAGGGGATCAGGACAAGCACTTTTTCCAAATAAACCGAGAGTCAAAAGTGTTTCGTTTGGGAGGCACCCTCAAAGAAGTGGTGAAATTTGGAAGTCTTCTTTAATTTTTTCTCGCCAACCATAAGAGTTACACGACGTCTTTGAATAGGTTTTCGGGTATGCCCTTTTTAAAATAACTTTTCAAACAAAAGTTATACTCATTTGAAGATTGGGCCTTCGGGTTACAGTGTCCCCCGCCTACTTGCGAGTGATCTTATTTCGCATGTAGTTAATCGAAAATGTCGCAAATAACAAAAAAATAACAATTGAACGATTGAAGGGCCTCCATGGGGATCACGGAAGCCGTAGCCCTCGAATTTCAATGAGCCTGTATATGCGCAGACATGTTGGTATGCTTATGCTACTCACACAAAACAGAAATACCTACTTTCCGCAAATCTAACAACAGTGCAACATCAAAGTGACATTTACTAAAAAGTAGCCGGTATAATATAATTCCGTTATAAGTGTTATAAACCGTTCCCCTTTACACACTACACAGTTCTCTTATGAAATACAAAGGATTTATACAAGGGAAATCTTTCACCTTTAAAGTGATTGATGTAATAACACTCGACAATATTAAACTATGGATGTTATTTTCATTTTTTTATGAAAGCTATGAAAATAAAACGATTCCGTACCGTCAATCTCGTATACGTATAATAAGTCCTTTGAAACGCTTTCCTTCTTTTCTTACTTCCATTTTTGACCCACGCATCTCGAAGCTAATAATCCAGCAGCTTTCTCTGAAGGTTTGATTAAAGTACCTACTCTTCAACCGTATAATTGATGGGAAATATTTAAGACGAATTTCTTTTTATATTCATGGGTACGAAGATTCCAGTTTAAATGAAGATCAATAACTCGGAGATTAATAATTATTCTTTTGTGTAAGAGGGGAGTGTAGGTATATCTTGTAAATATTCGTACTCCAAAATAATGAGGCAGTAAATTATACCAGTATTGGCGGGCACTTCTACAAAGCAGTGTCATCCTGCGATTTTGATAAAGTTTGCGTGATTCAGTTGTATTACTGAAAACTCAATTCGTAGTTATTGCCGACTTGCATTGAATAACTATTTAAGACTAGCTGACCCGACGGACATTGTCCTCTTTCTTAGCTATGAATACCTATTCAATTCGGACTGAAATAAATAATAACAAAAAATTTGCTGTGGCTAGCACAGGTACCACCCGCCCCACCTGTCCATGCGCGATTCTGCCCTTTTATGTCTAAGAATATGTGTAGCAAATTTGGTTTAAATCGGTTCAACTGTTTAGCCGGAAAAGAGATTTTGACACACTTTCCCTAAAATCTCCCCATCTCTCCCCAAAATAATAAAAAATAAACGCACTCACTTCTATAGTTGCTTTTGGTGATTCAGAGCGAGCAACGTACCTTTTTTTTGCGCCAAATGCCGTAATTTG